CCATTGTGAGTCATTGTTTTATTAGTCACTTATTAATGCCTTTCCAATCTTATGGGAGATAAAAGGCTTCCTATTGACATTTGGGTTTGCATTACCCAGATTACTGTGAAGTTATGCAAGTCTTGTTATAGGTCTACTTGGCGTTTTATCTTTCTCTGTGAATGACCCAGATAAATTACTTAATCATTTCTTCCACTAGGCCATTTCTCCTTTTCAAAAATTTTTTAACAGTTACATTTTATGTATTCGCAATATTGTTTCTTTGCCTCTTTAAAATGATTTTCTTAACTGGTGCTTCACCTTGGTTTGGGTGCTTTTGTCATCCAAGTTTTTAGCTTCAATACAGTCAAATGCTTGTACATCTGTTGTTTCCTTCATAGCCTCCAGTTCTGCATCTTGCTTGGAAAGCTCCTCCCATGCCTAGGATTCTAAAAATACCCTCCTGTATTTTCTTGTAATGCTGTTATCATTTTGTCATCTATGATTTGCTCTTTAAATGGTGTAAAATTTATTGTTATTTATGGTGTGAGACAGGAACTTAAGTTAATTTTATTCCAAACAGATAATTTACGGCCACCAGTCTATTCGACTTATAGACTAGACTAAGCTTCTCCCATCTTCTCCTCTTCCTCATAAACTCTGTCACTATGTACACATACGTTTAACAGTGTACACTTAACTCCATTGTTCCCAACATTCTGTCATTTGAGTACCATCATCATTTCTATTATATTCATATTCCACTTATTTACTTAATATTTTAGCATAATGCATTTTAAAATGTAATACCCACTTTAGCCTCATCCTAAGCACATAAAATCATGGGTTTTTTTTCTAGTAAATATTAAAATAAGCCGGGTGCGGTGGCTCACGCCTGTAATCCCAGCACTTTGGGAGGCAGAGGTGAGAGGGTTTCCTGAGTCCACGGGTTCGAGATCAGCCCAGGCAACATGGCAAGACCTTAAATCTACAATAAATAAATAAAAATTAGCCAGGCGTGGTGGTGAGTGCCTGTGGTTCCAGCTACTTGGAAGACTGAGGTGGATTGCCTGAGCCCAGCAGGTTGAGGCTACAGTAGCTGTGATTGTGCCACTGCACTTGAGCCTGGGTAACAGAGCGAGACTCCAACTCAAAAAAAAAAAAAGAAAAAGAAAAGACTGAGAACTGTGGCATCACCACGAAGGAACTTCCTCATGCTACCCATTTATAGTCAGGTCCTTCATCCATCTTCATACCAGGGCAGCTACTGATCTGTTCTCCACCTCTATAATGGTGTCACTTTATGTTATATAAAAGGAATCATACAGCACATAACTTTTGGGGACTGGCTTATTTCACTCAGTATAATTCCCTGAGTAAATTGTTGTGTGGGAAAATAGTCATTCCTCTTTATTGCAAGTAGCATCCCAGAGTATGGTTGTACCAAGGTTTGTTTTACCATTCACCCATTCAAGAACATCTGATTTGTTTCCATTTGGGAGCTATTACAGTTAAAGCTGTTATGAGCCTTTGTGTACAGGTTTTATGTAAACTTAAGATTTCATTTCTCTAAAATAAATGTTCAGTTCTGTCACTGCATTGCATGGTAAGTATATATTTAACTCTTTAAGAAACAGTTAGGCACCCTGGGCAACATAGCAAGACCCCACCTCTACAGAGAATCAGAGGAAAAATAACACCAGGCATGGTGGTATACGTCTGTATTCTCAACTGCTCGGGAGGCTGAAGTGAGAGGATCCCTTGAGCCCAGGAGTTCGAAGTTATAGTGAGCTATGATTGCAATGTTGGACTCCAGCCTGGGTGACAGTGAGACCTTATCTTGGAAAGAAACTGCCAGGCTGGTTGTATCATTTTCCATTCCCATCAATAGTATATGAGAGAGCCAGTTTCTCTGCATCCTCACCAGCCTCTGACACTCACAGCATTTTTAGTTTTAGCTTTTCTAACCAGTGTTTCTCATTGTAGCTTTAATTTGTCTTTCCCTTATGACCAGCACTGTTGAACATCTTTTCATGTGCTTATTTGTACAGCACGTTTTGATATCTGGTGGCAAGTCTAAGGTTGCCCTTCTTGTTTGGTCCTTTCCTTTCCGACCCCGAGAGACATAGCTGATCTTGCCTGCTCCCAGAGATGGCAACGCTCCATTTTAGCTCTTGTATGAAGAGGAAAGGGTGGGCCCTTGTATGGTTTGACCTCATGGTCAGGAGCTCGGGCTCAGGAGCTCCAGGTGGCTGACTCAGGGGAAGGTATGAAGCTTCCAGCACCAGATGTGACAGCACCCTTCCTCCTATCCATACTCCAAGACATGTTTAATAAAATCAGTACCTCTGGAAGGCTGGGCCCAGTGGCTCATGCCTGTAACCCCAGCACATTGGGGGGGCCTAAGTGAGAGGGTTGCTTGAGCCCAGGACTTCAAAAACAGCTTAGGCAACACAGCGAGACCTTATCTCTACAAAAAAAAGAAAAAAGCTGGGTATGGTGGTGTGCATCTATAGTCCCAGCTATCCGGGAAGCTGAGATAGGAGGATCACCTGAGCCCAGAAAGTCAGAGACTGCAGTAAGCTGTGATCATGCCACTGCCTCCAGCCTGGGTGACAGAGTGAGATCGCAACTCAAAAAAATAAATAAAAGAAAATAAAATCAATGCCATTGGATATGGATTTGCTTGGGGTGTTGTGAGGAAGTTCTGAGTCTGATCTCATGATTGGAAATGGTGGAACTTCAGCAAAGGGGACAGACCGATCACAACAGAGTCACAAATATCACTCTATTTTGGGAGGATGTAGAAAGAATTAGAGCTAGGGATCTTGGGTTGTCCCCCAAAGCCTGGGATTTCTACAACACTTCAAGGGCAAAGTCCATATCTGCTTGATACGCTCTGTCCCGTGCCCTGGCAGGACCTGGCCTGGAATGGGGAGGGACAGTCACCTCTGAGCAGTGGCTGCATCCCCTACTTTAACTCCCCTTCACCCTGAGGTCAGCAGTGAGCAGGAAGGTGCTTGAGAACCTCTGAGACCTGGGCCAGGACTCAGGAGCTGGGAGTCCCTGAGGGGCCAGAGCACACCCTGGAGGGGAACGGTAATTGGCACTGGCCAGAGCTGGGAAGAGGCTCAGACTAACCTTCTAGAGATGGGATTCTCAAGATAGGACCCACAGTCCCTGCGGATCACAAGGAACCTCCTGGCAGACAGCACATCCCAAATACAGCTCCTTTCATTATGTTCTCCGGGGGAATGAAGAGCCCACCTAGAAGATTCCGTTTTTTACTAAGGATCCAAGTCTTCTTCATTATAATCTACCAACTCGCCTGTTGAAGGTTACCAACAGAGGGTATTCACAAAGTACAGTGAGGGTGTGTCAAGAGCTTATTGAACACTGTCAGTGTGACCTGGAGCGAATTAGTTAAAACTGATTCCTCCATTTCCTCATCTGTAAAATCTAAATAATAAATAGTTCTAGATTTACTGAGACACTGAGAAGGGTAAAGTGTTTCAAACAGATGTGCCCGCTGTTATGACTAGAATGTGAGCAGCCATTGCCCCACTGTTGCTTTTGGCCACATGGTAAACTCCGACTGTGCACGCCCCCTGGAGCGGGTTGGAATTCCTGCACCCATGGAGGGTCGCTTCCTTAGTGGTGCCCGCTCAGGGCTGCCTTGAGTCGGGAAGCTTCCCGTTGTCAGTGTTCCTCCTATCCAATGGTAAATAATTGTTCAGCTTCATTATTTTTTCTTATTTTTTCTTATTTTTTTTTGAGTTGGAGTCTCACTCTGTCGCCCAGGCTGGAGTGCAGTGGCCGCTCCCGGTCACCGCAGCCTCGACCTGCTGGGCTCCGGCGATCCTTCTGCCTCAGCCTTCCAAGTAGCTGGAACTACAGGCTTCATTATTATCAACGTCATTTGTTGGGAGTGGTTTGGTAAATACTATAGGATATGGCACTGCATATTTCCACAATCTAACATTGAACATAAAATGTTCTAGTAACTGGATTTAAAACCATCAGTGTGTGTGGTTCAAACATAGATCATCTGTACCCCTGTTACTAAGGCTGGTGTGTGTTTGTGTGTGTGTGTGTGTGTGTGTGTGTGTGTGTGTGTATCCCAAATATTTTACTCTTGCTGAATACTGTGTGTTGTTGCTGAGTTCTCTAAGTGGGAATGTGTGGGGAGCTTGGGTCGCAGAGTTTTCCACTTCTCCTAAGTGGGCTCTGAAATATTGGATACAGCATGCATGGAGGGCACTGGACAGAGCCTACAGGTGACCCTGCTGTTCAGAACTAGGCACTTGGGCAGTGGCAGCAACCCCTGCCCTACCCTCCCCCCAAAGGCATCCCAGCAGCCTGATGTGGTGGCAACTGCTCTTGGGCTCCTCCTCGGGACCCCAGATCTCAGTCTGTCCTCTGCCCCACACCAGCTGTCCTTCTCATGGACCCCCAGAGGGTCTGTGGTGCAGTGCTCACCGGGAATGTGTGTGTGCGCGTACACACACAAGGCTTAGGGCCTGGCTCTGGACATCTCCAATAAACCTTACCTGATTGATCACACCCACACCAAATTCTATTTTTTTTTTTTCTTTTTTAGTTTTTGAGACAGGATCCTGCTATGTTACCCAGGCTGCAAACTGGTTTCTAACTCCTGGACTCAAGTGATCCTCCTGCTTCTTCCTCCCAAGTAGCTGGGATTACAGACACACACTGTGCCCAGCGAGCATACCCAATTCTAACTCATCATTTCCTCCACAATTGATGACTCAGTATATTTTTTTCCATTTATTCCTTATTTTATTGAGGGAACAGAATCCTAGCTAGGACACAGTGATCCTTTCTGCCCAGACCATGATGGAATCTGGCCCAGAGAGAGTGAGCAGCTCGTCAGAGGTCACACAGTCAGGCCCAGCCAGAGGAGCTCCCTGATAACTCACACCACCTCTTATTAAGATGCTTGCTGGTGACCTAACTCCTTGGCTGATGAACTAACCTGGCTCCTTTCATGGCCCCTGTAGACGCCAAGGGGACCATTCGGGAAATTGTCCTGCCCAGAGGTCTGGACCTGGACCGGCCCAAGCGGACACGCACATCCTTCACGGCTGAGCAGCTGTACCGCCTGGAGATGGAGTTCCAGCGCTGCCAGTACGTGGTGGGCCGCGAGCGCACTGAGCTGGCCCGTCAGCTGAACCTCTCCGAGACCCAGGTAAGAGGCCAGGACCATGCCATGCCATGCCACTCTAGTCCCAGCAGCCTGGGAACTCCTGGGGGTCTGAGGCTCCAAGGTCTGCTGCAGGGAGACCCAACCCTGGAGGAGTTCAGTCATGCACAAGGGAAAAACTTAAAGTTACAGGTAAACCAGGGCAAATAAATATGGTGCTGAGAAGATAGCAAATGCCTGTGGAAGGCCTTGTGCATAATCAGGCACTTGGGTGGAATACGGGACAAGACCAGAGAGGAGCGATTTTGGGGGGTGTTGGCATGTAAAAGGAGCTGAGAAGAGTTGGCTTGCTGGAAACCGAGATTCTGGGGAGAGACACGCATGACAGCATCGGGTAGGAGACCTCTCCCTTTCCCGTTCAGGGCCCTTTCCCACTCTCTATTACCTTCCCTTCTTCTCGGTGTGCCTCAGTCTCTCTGACCGGAGGAGTATGGGCATTCTCCTCACCCAGAAAGGGCTGGCATTTCAACAGCAGTGCCCTTAACCAAAAAGACAAAAACGTTTATAAGCTGAGCACCTACCCTGTGTGAATGGCGACACTCCAAGCTGATCCCAGATAATAATAATAATAATAATACACTATTATATAGAGTTACAAAAGAAAAGGGGGAGGCCATGTCTCCTCTTCAGGCCTCCAGGGAGTCCTCAACTTACCAATTGTTGCTTACTGCCCTCGCTTCTCTTTCTCCAACCCTGGGGTTGTGCAGACAGGATAAGTAATGGGCAGCAAAATAATAAACAAAACAATAATAATAATTCTGGGTACGTATGCATGCCAGACACTAAGTGCTTGCATACGTTAATAACAAATCTCTCCCAACAACCACAGGATTTAGTATTATCCCGTATTACAGATGAGAGGAAGTTGTGTCTAAGGTCATACAACCGGTATGTTCCAGAACAGGGATTTGGACAAGCAGCCCCGTGTCTTCATGCTGCCTATAAACTGGGCGACCTTCCTTGGGCTTGTCAGAGGATAACCCAGAGACCTTTAGTTGAGCTACAGCTCTGGCAATTTCCTCTTATACACGAGGAGGTCCGTCAATACTTGTATTGCAAATACCTGGCAAAATAGGCTTGATGAAGTGGATTGGAGGGAGGGGGAGGGAGGAAGCACACTGCCTGGAGCTGTGCTGACTTCTTCCTGGGAGCACTGGGGTCGGGTCGCGGAGGGCAAGGACGTCCCCTCCTTGCTGTGCTGCTGTCTTTCCCTGGTTCCCACCAGTTCCGGAGCAGTTAGGTCCCTCTCCCTGCTTCCCTCCAGCTCCTCGAGTTCCACCTCTGGGGGGAACCGGAGCATCCGATGCACCTAGATGTCCTGGCCCCTTGAGGGTGAGCAGGTTCCCCCGGAGTAAACCCAGAGTGGGGCAGAGGAGAGGCGAGAAGGGGCAAGAGGAGGAGGAGGAGGGGCGACAGGGAGGAAGGGGACTACTGGGGAGCAGCTGCCGTCCTGCAGGGCCTGGTCGTCTCCACCTGCACTTGTTTTCCTCCAGCTGCCACTGTGGCTCTCCCAAACAAGCCTGCTGGGCCCTCCCTCCAGCTGGGCTCAGCAGGGCGCTGGAAAGCCAGGTTTGTGCTCAGAGAGGAGGCCCCAGTGGCTGGACCAGCCCAGAGCTCCTGGGGAAGCTGGGAGACCCCGTGTACCCTACATTTAGCGGCCCTTAGAGGTCAAACCCAAGCTCCCCCACTTCCAGGAAGCCTTCCATAAGGCTTCTTGACATCTAAGAGACCTTTTTCACCTGGTCTGACCTGTAAAGTGTGTTTGTGTGTGTGTGTGTGTGTGTGTGTGTGTGTGTGTGTGTGTGTGTGTGTTGTGCGCGCACGTGCGCGCACACGTGCACCCACACATGCGCTCCAACCGCTATGAGCTTCTCGAGGACAAGAATGTATTCAAAGGCCACGTCTCCCCTTCAGCCTTCCAGTAATCCCTCAGGGAGTCCTCAACTTACCAATTGTTGCTTACCGCCCTCTCTTCTCTTTCTCCAACGCTGGGGTTGAGCAGACAGGATAAGCAATGTGCAGCTGACATTTACTGAGAGCTTTCTATGCACCAGACCCTGTTCTAACTAGTTAATTCTAACTAGTTTAGTCCTCACCACAACCCTGTGGTTTGGATATGAGGTTTTTCTTCTGGTGCCAAATGTGTGGTGTGTTCCAACACCACCAGTAGTCAGTGCTCAAATTCGGTGTCCAACAATTCTATTCTGACACGGATTCCCCGAGTTAGCACAGACCCCACAAGTTAAGTCTCAGTCCCATAAGACAGTGCCATGGCAGATGCTAGTCACAAGTCCCAAAGCCACCTGTGTTTCTGAATGAATGGCCCTAAATGTGGAGGTTCCCACATTGGACCGCTCAGGTTTAATGATTTGCTAGAATGACTCATGGAACTCAGGAAGATACTTCACTTCCATTTGCTGGTTTATTATAAAGAATACAAGTCAGAAACAGCCAAATGGAAGAAATGCTTAGGGCAAGGTAAGGGGGAAGGGCATCCATGCCCTCTCTAGTGCCCACCCTTCTAACAGTCCAGATGTCACTAACCCAAAAGTTCTCCAGGTCTTGTTGTTCAACAAGTTTTTATAATTCAATCTCCAGGGACAAGAGGGGAGGTGGAAAGTTTCTACTTCTAATCACACATGTGGTCTTTCTGGCACGAGGTCTTTCCTGGAACTATCTAGAGGTCTACCCGAGTCACAAATTCAAGTGTGATTGAAAGGTTGAAAGGGGCTTGTTATGAATAACAAAAGACACTCCTATCAGGAAATGTCAAGGGTTTTAGGAACTGTGTGTTAGGAACCCACAAAGGCCAGACATATTTTGTTATACTACAGTGGGTCTTTATTATCTACATTTTAAAGAGAAAAGAACTGAGACAGAAAAATTAAATGACTTGCTCAAGATTTAGAGGTGCATTCAGAGCTCATTTAATCTTTAGAAGAAGATGGCTTTATGGGTAATATTATCCTGGTTTAAGTAAACTGAGCCTTAGAGAGGTTAATTAACTTACTCAAGTTTACATTGATAGAATTCTGTGGAATTCTCAGTATATCCACCCATGATTTTGTTAAAAAATATTGAGCTGGGTGCAGTGGCTCACACCTGTAATCCCAGCACTTTGGGGGACAGAGGTGAGAAGGTTGCCTGAGCCCAGGGGTTTGAGACCAGCCGGGGTAACTTGGCAAGACCTCATCTCTGCAATGAAATTAAAAAATTAACCAGGTGTGGTGGCATGTGCCTGTGATTCCAGATATTTGGAGGGTTGAGGCAGAAGGATCGCCAGAGCCATGAGCATGCCACTATGTACCAGGTGCTGTCTAGACACTGGGATACAGCATAGAACAAAATAGAACTGCCCCTCGTGCCACTTACATCTATGGAGAGAAAGAGAAACATTTCAAAGAGTGATACATGTGATGAGGGAGATAAAATGGGGTAGTAGGATAGAAAGTAGGAGGAACTCTTTTATCAGAGAAGGTTTCTTTGGGGAGATGGCATTGAGCTTAGGCCTGAATGATGGAGAAGAGACAGCCAGAAGAAGAGAAGTCAAGGCAGGGGGTAACTCTGAAGACCTAGGGGGTGGGAATTGGCACAGAATGTTCTAGAAGTGTCAGAAAGCCAGTGTGGATGGAGCTAGAGGGTAGTAAGGTAAGTAGGGGCAGATCATGTGGTGCTTACAGAACACGGTCATGGGTTGAAGGGAGAGTGACGGAAGATGACTGGCATTTTACAGAAGTCACTCTGGCTACCATTTAGAGAAAGATCACAGGGGACAGGCGTGAATCAGGTGGGGGCTACTGAACAGAGCCGGGGTGGAGAGAGAAGTGGACTGATCTGAGATGTACTCTGATGTGGAGATAGAAGCTGTTAGGACTTGTTCACGGATTACACGCACAGGTCAGGAAAGGAAGTGATTTGGGCTCAAATAACTGGAAGAGTGGTAACATTTTATGAGTTGAGAAAGTTGGGAGCAGGACAGTGGGACAGTATGATCAAGAGTTTTGTTTTGGATCAGTTAAATTTGAGATCTAAGTGGCAATGTCAAGAAGTCATGTCAGATATTGCGGGGGGTAGGGCGCTGATTTTCTCTGATTTGAGTTATCTGAGGGTCTCAGTCAGGACTCTTTTGGGGAAAGGATAAGACTTTCCCTCACGTACCCTCAGACAATGGATAGACTTCTAAGGGATTTTTTAAAAGAAGCCAGAATCATGAGGAAATTCAGTAACAGGAACCATGGTATAGCCAGGATTGGTAGAGACTGGAAGCCAAAGGTTCCTTGAGGGCTTCAGCACCAGGTACTCATTGACTTTCCCTCCACTGAATATGCAGCCCAGCTGCTTTCCACGTGTCTCCTTCTCTCTCTGTTAGTCCTCCACTCTTTTCTTCCAGCTGCGCACTAGCAACTCTACCCTCTTCCTCTACCAGGAAGATCCAGGTGTGGTCCCAATTCAGTGGAGCTGCTGCACATTTCATCGGAAGCCCACGTACAGGACCAGACAGGCATAATGGCAAAGCCCTCCCTTCCATTTCCTGCCACTGACAGGGTTCTGCAGGATGAAGGTTCTACCAAATGTGAAAACACTAACAAGATGGAACACAGCTGACATGTGTCCCGGGCTACGCGTGGGGTGGTGCATGGCTGCCCTGGAGGGAAGGGGGAAGCCTTGGAGGGGTTGATCTCTTGAAACATCAAAAGGACTGTCTACCCACCCTTATTCCCCCAAAGCTAGCATGCACTAAAGCTCTTCTCATGTCAAAGAGCAGGGATAGTCCCACTTAGTCTGGTTCTCCTTGCTTCTAGAAACTCCACAACAACTTGTCAGCATGTTTTTTTGTTTCTGGAAGACAGTTTGGTATTTGATTAAAGCAGTGTTTCTCAAGGTATGGCCTGCAGACCAGCTGTGTGTCAAACTCCCCTGGGCTTCTCAGGAAGACACAGATACCTATACCACCCTCAACCAGAGATTCTAAGTCAGATATATAG